GGGGACTTGGAGGGGTGAAGGCACGTGTGTCCACTGTAGGGTCACACGTTCTCTCCCTGGCCGGGGTCTAAGATCCTGCAGGCTGAGCAGTGTGGCCAAAAGAGAGACAAAAAGATAAAGACAGACTTTGGGGGGGGGATTTGCACAACTGTAGGGTCACGTTGGCTCCTGAGCACATGTAGGAAGACGAGGTGAAGCGAGGATGCTCCGTAGGGGAGGAGGGGAGGAGAGGCCGCGTGACCTTGACCTTGAAGAGTAGCCGACTCTCTTTCTGGAAGGCCTGCCCAGGCTCAGGATGGCCGAGGCAAGGACAGGGGAGAGGGGACCGCTGCCCCCGGGGGGGTGTGGAGGTAGGCGCCTGCCTTTCCCAGGTCGCAGCTCCCGGCCTGACTCCAGCTCCCGGGATGTCTCCTGACCCGCTGCTGCCCACGTGGCTTGTCCACAGCGGGAGAGCCCTGGGCCAGCCAGGGGATGGGCGGCTGGCGCTGCTGGATGGCCCTTTGCTCAGCTAGTGCAGGGCACTGCATCCCTGAGTGTCGGGAGCGTCCGGGGGCTCCCTCTCCTTGAAGCAGACCCAGGGCACCCTTGTGAGTCTGCGTGCATCAGGGTGGTGGGACCTGGGGTGAGGGTCCCAGCAACGTCAGCCGGGGGGCTCGGTCAGGCCAGGCCTCGGCTGCTCGGTGCCGTGGGGTGTCTTCCGTGAACGTCGCCCACGAGGGAGGGCGCTGGCTTTGTTGTTCCAGTCATTTTGGAGAAAACTCTCCTGAGATACACCGCACGCAGCGTCTTCTGGGTATTCAGTTCGGTTCAGTGGCTCGGTCGGGTCCGACCCTCTGTGACCCCAGGGACAGCAGCACGCCAGGCCTCTGGGTGTCAGCTCACCCCTTCTGACACCTCCAGCCGCCGTATTCCATCTGCAGTGCTGGATTTTTCCCTAGCACGCCTCGTCCATTTATATTCGATGCCATTTCTGATACATTGAAGTTCACAGCTTTTGTTTCATGCTTCCTATTTGTCCACTGATTCTGTGTATATTTTCTTCCCTTTCTGGCGTTCTTTTACTTTATTTTCCCTGAGCTTATTTTAGAGAATTTTCAAGCAAACCGGAAATTTGAAAGAACAAGCCTGTGACCACCTGTATGCCCTCCAATTAGATTTACTGCTACTAAGTCACTTCAGTCGTGACCGACTCTGTGAGACCCTATAGACGGCAGCCCACCAGGCTCCCCCGTCCCTGGGATTCTCCAGGCAAGAACACTGGAGTGGGTTGCCATTTCCTTCTCCAGCGCATGAAAGTGAAAAGCAAAAGTGAAGTTGCTCAGTCGTGTCTGACTCTTAGCGACCTCATGGACTGCAGCCTACCAGGCTCCTCTGTCCGTGGGATTTTCCAGGCAAGAGTATTGGAGTGGGGTGCCGTTGCCTTCTCCTAATTAGATTTATTAGTCCTTACTATTTTGCCATATAAACATAAATACTTATATACACATAGACCTACACACATATGCATACATATAATGCAAATTGCACACAAGTATATGTGTATATGCACATGTATGTGTGCTAAACTGCTTTCTTCTAGACATTTAAAATTTAAAAAAATTGTTTTTATTTTTAAAATTTTTACTTTAAATTGGAGTATAGTTGCTTTACACTGCTGCATTAGTTTCAGATGTACTAAATTGCTTTCTGGAGTATGCTCCATGAATTGACACTCCTACTGAAAGTTTGCTGCGGTGAGCCATGTGTCATGCTGGGATTCATGACCTCCAGAGGAGAGGATTTTGATCCGGGGCCAGAGGTGAGGCTTGACTACTTGGAACATTTTGTGTAGAGAATTTTTATTAGTGCCCCTGTGCTAGTTTGTCTCAGGCTGTTTTATGTCTGTTAGAAAGCTATTAATCAGATAAGGGAGACCCCTCAAGGCTGAGGGAATTTCACCAGGCCCCTCTCCCACAATGCGCATTTTTTAGATAGGATGGCATGAGGTGTGTCGTCCCCCAGCCGTAAAACAACTGAGATGAACACTGGTTTGTCGAGCTATTATCGGCCCAAGGTTTGAGAAAAGAAAAAGAAGCTAGTCTTAGGTGAAACCATTTTGAAGAAAGACAAATTCCAAAGCAAACACATAGTTTCATTAGCATATCTTAAGAAAAACATTTCCATAAGAAAAACGCATTGTTAGCTCAAGGCAGAAGCAGGTGTCTTCAACACGGAATTAAAAGAAGCCTCTTAATTTTGTGTGCGTGGGCTTAGTCGCTCAGTCATGTCTGACTCTTCGCAACCCCGTGGACTGTAGCCGGCCAGGCTCCTCTGTCCATGGGATTCTGCAGGCCAGAATACTGGAGTGGGTTGCCATGCCCTGCTCCAGGGGATCTTCCCAGCCCAGGGAGGGAACCCAGGTCTCTCGCATTGCAGGTGGATTCTTTACTGTCTGAGCCGCCAAAAAACATCTGCCACTTGCAGTTTATTTCCTCCTGCTGCCCTTTCATTACCAGCAGTGTGTGAACAGTCGAGATATTACACATCCCTGCCAGCATTTGATATTACCCTGGTTTTGCTGGTTTTGCCAGCCTGGTGGGTGTGAAGCGCTCTCTTATTGTGACTTTTTTTTTTTTTAATTTATTTATTTGGCAGTACCGGGTCTTAGTTGCAGCATGTGAACTCTTAGTTGAGGCATGTGGGATCTAGTCCCCTGACCAGGGATCGAACCCAGGCCTCCTGCATTGGGAGCTTGAAGTCTTCGCCACTGGACCACCAGGGAAGCCCTTCACTGTGGCTTTAATACGCAGTTCTCTGGTCATGCACAAGGGTGAGCATCTGGTTTCTTTTATGAAGAGCCCATGTGCTCATGTGCTGTTGGCGTGCCTGCCTGCAGCTGCCCCTTGCTCTCCTAAATTTTAGGGTATACAATCCTGAGTTCTGGGAAATAAGCTACTGAATCTTTTGCTGGTTTAAGGCTGTAATTAAGGGCCTGAAGGATTCCCCTTTAAAATTGTATAGCATTAAAAGATGCTTTAGCTTGCAAGCAACAGGAATGCAACCTAAGTGAACCTATTAGCTTCTACAGCGGACCAGCCCAGTGGGACTGGCAGCTTCAGGTGAGGCTTGCTCCAGGGGCTCGACTGTCACCCAGGACCCAGTCTTTAGCCTCCTCATGCTGCTTCTGCAGGGCTGGCTTGCCCCAGGGCTGCCTCCCCTTTCAGTTCTCAGCTGTCTGCCAGCAACTCCTGAGGCGACTCTTTGCCCACACCCACCCTGAACTGGCTGGGCTGATTTAGATCACCTGAGCATCCTGGAACCAGTCTCTGTTGTTGGAGGCTGGAATGTTCAGATTGGGGTGGAGCCAGCTTCCTGCAAACCATGCGGATCCCCAGATGGAAATCAGAGCAGATGGGTGGGGTGGGGTAGATGCTGGGGCTTGACCAGTCAACTCCCACACAGCACGCGCGGCCTGCATGCCTGGTGCTGGCCACGGTGGCCGCTGAGCAGCCCTTCTTGCTCAGTCTTGGGCGTGTGCCCGTGTGCCAGATGGTTGAACCTCCTGGAAATCTGAACTGTGCGTAACTATGAGATTTTTTTTCTTACAAATATTTTCGCAATGGGAGGATAATATGGAAGATGAACACAATGAATGCCTGTATCTCCCCCACCTGGTCCAATGGTTACCAGCATCTTGACATATATGTTCTTCCTCCCCGTCCCTCTTTTAATATTTTACTGAACATTTCAAATAAATTACAGACACAGGGATACTTAAGCCTAAATACAGAGCCATAATGCCACTGTCACACCTCAGAAAACTAACCATCAGTTCTCAAATATCATCTAATATCCTGTCCAGATAGAAAGTATGTCCCCCAAATCTGTTTCGTAGCTGTTAGTTCGAACCAAGACCCAGCCAGGGATCCTGTATTGCCTCACTGGTTTGCCTCTTTGGTATCTTTTCATCTACAAGAGTCTTTCTAGATTCAAAGTTTGGGGTTAGAACCGGAGATTCTCAAAGCATTTTCTCATGATGTTCATTCCAAGGGGGCTGCTCGGGGATGGGTGGCGTCCACCTCCCGCATCTATCCCCACCCCCGGCATGTCCATGCGTCCCCGTGTCTCGGTTTTCTCTCTAAATGGGAATTCAGGCGTGAGTCCTTCATGAGCGACGTTTCCCTTTTATTTTCCATCAGTGAGCTGTGTTCTTCTACTGCTCTTCTCCAGAAGCACAGATGGGAAGATGTTAACTATCTTTGCTTTTAGTCTCTTTCCCCCTCTTTTCTTGCCATCTTTGTTTTGATAGAACACTTAAAAATTCCATTCATCTCCTTTTTGACTTATTAGGCCTCTTTTAAAAATGTTTTAGCTGTTTACCGAGGTTGACAATATACATTTTTAGATGATCCACACGGTTGGGTCTGGACTGTTGAATTGTGCCCCAGGTGGCAGTTATTTGACTGGTAGGTCAACTGTATGTGGGGGTAGTTTGTTCCCCATGAAACGTGGTCCAGGCCCGACTCACCTGGTCTTTCCAGCCCCCGGTCAGGGGTGGGTGGACACCAGCCAGCAGGTGGTTTAAAACCTTACCCACCCAGCTGAGAGACTGAATATACAAATGAACACCGACCAGACTGTATGTGAAGACAGAACTCTGACCCTCGGTCCGCAGCCGCCTACCCAGGGCACCAGGCTGCCGTGATTCTGAGCTGCAGGAGGACAGCCTGCCGTCTCCAGCGACAACCCAGAAGCTGGACAACGACCCCCGTGACAGGCAGCCAGGACTCGATCAATGACTGCCGGCCTCCTAAACTGTCATCCTGCTTCCGACTCAGGACCAACCTGCCTGGCCCCGACCCGTCGCCTGGAACGCCCCCCTCTAGAGCATCCCGGGGCCCCCGGCTCCATCAGGCACGCTGAGCCCCTTTCTTTCTGCTGGGAAGCTCTCCCAGTCCTGCCTGCCTCTGGGTCTCTGCTGAGTGATGAGGCCGACCCCTGGCTCACTAGACAGTTCCTACCAGACAGCCTCGCTTTCCGGATGGGGGTCTCCGCTTGGCTCCACACCCCTTTCTCGCAGCAGCCTGGGTCTCCTGGAGGCCGGGTCTCTCCAGGGCCCTTCAGCAGGACGGAGCGGCAGCTGAGAGGGACGCCCACGTGGTGGTTGATCCCCTGAGGGAGGCGGCCGAGGGCTCGAGGGCCAGGCTGAGGGTGGCCCGACCGTCCCCTGAACACGGAGCCGAGGCGGCCACGCAGGCGCAGGCGGCCCTGGTGAAGCTTAACACCGAGGGCCTCTCCGCTCTGGAGACTGGAGTCTGAGATCGAGGGGGCCAGGCCAGCTACGTCTGAGCCCGGGACGGCGGGGCACTCTGCTCCAGGCCCCTTTCCCAGCTGCGGGGGTCCGGGGGCCCGTCTCCAGCTTCGGGGGTCCGGGGGCCCGTCTCCAGCTTCGGGGGCTCGGGGGCCCGTCTCCAGCTTCGGGGGCTCGGGGGCCCGTCTCCAGCTTCGGGGGTCCGGGGGCCCGTCTCCAGCTTCGGGGGTCTTGGGGCCCGTCTCCAGCTTCTGGGGCCCGGGGGCCCGTCTCCAGCTTCGGGGGCCCGGGGGCCCGTCTCCAGCTTCGGGGTCCGGGGGCCCGTCTCCAGCTTCGGGGGCCCGGGGGCCCGTCTCCAGCTTCGGGGGTCCTGGGGCCCGTCTCCAGCTTCTGGGGCCCGGGGGCCCGTCTCCAGCTTCGGGGGCCCGGGGGCCCGTCTCCAGCTTCGGGGGTCCGGGGGCCCGTCTCCAGCTTCTGGGGCCCGGGGGCCCGTCTCCAGCTTCGGGGGCCCGGGGGCCCGTCTCCAGCTTCGGGGGCTCGGGGGCCCGTCTCCAGCTTCGGGGTCCGGGGGCCCGTCTCCAGCTTCGGGGGTCCGGGGGCCCGTCTCCAGCTTCGGGGGCCCGGGGGCCCGTCTCCAGCTTCGGGGGTCCTGGGGCCCGTCTCCAGCTTCTGGGGCCCGGGGGCCCGTCTCCAGCTTCGGGGGCCCGGGGGCCCGTCTCCAGCTTCGGGGGCTCGGGGGCCCGTCTCCAGCTTCGGGGTCCGGGGGCCCGTCTCCAGCTTCGGGGGTCCTGGGGCCCGTCTCCAGCTTCGGGGGCCCGGGGGCCCGTCTCCAGCTTCTGGGGCCCGGGGGCCCGTCTCCAGCTTCGGGGGCCCGGGGGCCCGTCTCCAGCTTCGGGGGCTCGGGGGCCCGTCTCCAGCTTCGGGGTCCGGGGGCCCGTCTCCAGCTTCGGGGGTCCGGGGGCCCGTCTCCAGCTTCGGGGGCCCGGGGGCCCGTCTCCAGCTTCGGGGGTCCTGGGGCCCGTCTCCAGCTTCTGGGGCCCGGGGGCCCGTCTCCAGCTTCGGGGGCCCGGGGGCCCGTCTCCAGCTTCGGGGGCCCGGGGGCCCGTCTCCAGCTTCTGGGGCCCGGGGGCCCGTCTCCAGCTTCGGGGGCCCGGGGGCCCGTCTCCAGCTTCGGGGTCCGGGGGCCCGTCTCCAGCTTCGGGGCCCGGGGGCCCGTCTCCAGCTTCGGGGGTCCGGGGGCCCGTCTCCAGCTTCTGGGGCCCGGGGGCCCGTCTCCAGCTTCGGGGGGCCCGGGGGCCCGTCTCCAGCTTCGGGGGTCCGGGGGCCCGTCTCCAGCTTCGGGGGGCCGCTGGCCAAGTGGGCTGCTCCTTGGCTATGCACGCCTCGCCGTCTCTCCCTCTGCTGGAGCACATCTGTGTGTCCAAATGTCCCCTTTTTGTAAAAGCCGCGTGACTGAGAGCCCACCCCAGTGAGCTTATCCTAACTGGTGACGTGGCCGTGACTTTGCCCAGCAGGTCACATTCTGAGGGCCTGTGGGTTAGGACCTCACCCTCTAGAGTGATTCAGCCCGTAACAGCCCATCACTCCCTCTAAGCCCTGCTGGTTGAGCTCAGCCACACGGCCAGTCTTGGCTGGAAGGGGGTCAGGGTGCGTGGCCCGGCTGGGACTGCCCCAAGGCAGCCCCAAAGCAAGGAGCCTTCTGTAGGCAGGGGGTGGACGCTGCTGGAGTGGCCTTCCAGGGAACTGACCAAGCTTCCAGCCCTGCCCTAGGGCCTCACACACCCTCTGTCCTCTGCTCCCTCAGCCCCAGGCAACGAGTGAGTCAGCGAGTGAAAGCCGCTCAGTTGCGTCCGACTCTTTGCGACCCCACGAGGTTCTCCAGGCCAGAACACTGGAGTGGGTTGCTGTTTCCTTCTCCAGGGGATCTTCCCGATCCAGGGATTGAACCCAGGTCTCCTGCACCCCAGGCAGGTTCTTTACCATCTGAGCCCCTAGGGATGCCCCAGGCAGTGGGTGACACTGTCCTGTTTTACAGAGGAGGAGACAGAGGGTCAGAGAGGTCCCCACCAGAACCTCCCAGCTCGTCCATGGTGGGGATGGGCACTCCGGGCTTCTGTGTCTCAGCCTCAGCCCCTGCCCACCACCGCCTTCCTCACGGTGGCCGAACCAGCACCCAGGACCCCTGCGGGGGAGCGGCTTCCTCAATTCTTATCTGCATGTGCGGCTGGGAGCCAGGGCTGGGAGCCTGCTTGCCCGTGCCGAGAGGAGCGGCTGGCATCCGTGTGCACCCCTGGCACTTGGCCTTTCCCTTTGAGCTCTCAGGTGACTCTCATGGAGCGACGGTGCTGGGTTACCCCCGGGCAGGGGCAGCTGTGACTCCCAGGAGGTGGCCCTGGGCAGGGAGGGTCAGGGCCTGGCCGCAGTCTTCAACGTGTGTCCCCCAGGGCAGAGGGGTGGCCCCCCTAGGAGTCTGGGCTTGCACCCCCCGCTTGCCCACAGGGCTCATGCTCTCATTAGCTCATTTACCCACATGGTTTTGAGGGTCCGAGAGGGAAGCCGCTGGGACAGGATTTGACCTGGGTCTGTATCTGTCCCTAGTGGCTCAGAGGGTAAAGAGTCTCCCTGTAGCGCGGGAGACCCAGTTTCGATCCCTGGGTTGGGAAGATCCCCTGGAGAAGGGCATGGCAACCCACTCCAGTATTCTTGCCTGGAGAATCCCAAGGACAGAGGAGCCCGGTGGGCTACAAGTCCATGGGGTGGCAAAGAGTCAGCCATGACTGAGCGGCTGACCCTTTATCTGTCCGTGAGCGGCTGCTGGTGGGGTCAGTGTGGAGGCCAGAAGCCAGGACCCTCCGGGGGGAGCTTGCTGAGAGGCGTCGAGACGGAGAAGGGGGAGGCTGTGTGGTTGCTGGATTGGCCAGGATGGGCATATGGCACATGGGGCTTGCAGGGATGCTGTCTGGTGACTGCTGCCGTGTCTAGAGAGGGCCCCTGGGGCACAGGTGGGCCCGTGACCCGAGCGTGGAGGAGGGACTGGGCAGGCTCGGGAGGCGGCCAGGGGTCCACATGCACAGTTCTGGGATGGGTGGAAGGGCAGCCACTGTCAGCCTGCATGTCCCGCAGAGGGGACACACAGTCTGTTCTTCATCCAGACAGAAGTCAAGGCTGGTAAGAGGCCGGGCAGTCTCTCCCAGGAAGTGTGGGGATGCTGGGCTGGCAGGTGGGCCGTGCAGATTCTGACCAGGGACAGCGGCTGTGCCCCCAACCTGGGCCGTTGGATCTGGCCATGTGACAGAGGGACGGGCCTGCCTGACTCTTGGGTCGGGGGTGCAGCACGCTGGGGGTTTAGGGTTAGGCTGGTGGCTCCCAGCAGCCTCCCTCTGTGTGAGTGGAAATGCCCGGGAGGCAGGTGTGGGACCCCCAAAGGGGTGTGTGGCTGGGCAGACCCTGAGGGTGAGAGGCAGGGACCCTGACCCCCAACATGGAAAGGTCACCTGCCGCCGAGTAGAGAGTGGCCTGTGATCTGGCTCCCACGGGGACCCAGGGTGGCCCAGGTCACCCTTGGCTGAGACAGTGACTGCTGTTCACAGAACTCTAGGGGCCGGGGCCCTGGGTGACCGGCGCTGCCCGGATGCCTTCTGCTCTGCGGGGTCAGTGGGCAGGGCTGGGCGGGACTTCCGTGCCCTTCCCGAGGGGGCTGCAGGGGCTGCCATGCCCTCTGGCACCTCTGCCCTGGTGCCCCGCCAGGTGACGTACAGAGCAGCCCCACTTCCGGGGCCCCCACTTGGGACACCCAGACCCAGTCAAGGGACAGCCCTTAAGTAGGGGGTGGCTCCGTGTGCTGGGCTCGGTCAGCACCTCAGCCCATAGATGGCGGCCTCCGCTCCGCTGGCCCCAAGAAGCTGAGGTTCAACATGGCTGCGGCTTCCAGAAGGTCCAGCATCGTCTTAAGGACAGGGTGGGGCCATCCTGGCGCTTTACCGGCCCCTCCGGCCACGAGGGCAGGAGCCGATGACTGAGTGCTGAGCCATCTGGCCCTGAGAGGTCTTCTCCGAGAGGCAGCAGAATGAGGGGAGAGCCATGCTTCTCACGGAGCCAGGACCAAACCCAGGGCCCATGGGTGGGGGGGGGGGGAGGTTGCCAGGGCAACTGCGGAGCTGCAGGCCCTCACACTGACTCCTGCCTGGTTCCCTGAGACTGTGATGTGGAGCCTTGGTGAGTGTGTGTAGCTGAGCGCCCCGTGTGTGCCCGTGTGCAGGAATGCGTGCTCTCGAGTGGGTGTGGGCACAGCTCTCCCTACCCGACCCGTGTGCGGATGGGGGATGGGGCAGCTTTTCGGGGCAGGTTGAGGCTGCTGGAACCGGGGGAGGTGGGAAGGCGAGCTAAAAGGGAGAAGGGAGTGCTTCGCTGTGCTCAGCCGCTCAGCCGTGTCCGACTCTTAGCGACCCCATGGACTGCAGGCGGCCAGGCTCCTCTGTCCACGGGATTCTCCAGGCAAGAATACTGGAGTGGGTTGCCATTTCCTTCTCCAGGGGATATTCCCAACCCAGGGGTGGAAGCTGTGTCTTCCACCTTGCAGGCAGATTCTTTACCATCATAGCCTCCGGGGAAGCCCGTCTTAAGGCATAGGAGGAGTTATTTCCTCAGGGCAAGAATTCTTAAGAATTTCCTTCAAGCTTTCTCTGGAGTCTAGTGACCACACTGTCAAAGTTGTGTTTTTCCATGGTCATAGTTTCATAGCCAAAATTTAGACCACATAGTGCTCAGATTGGCAGATTGGTCCCAGCAGGCATTGTCCCTCTGGGTAAATGGGGGGTTCTTGGTCAGCCCCAGGCTGGTGATTATAGGAGAGTGTCCTGGACCTAAGGGGACATTAGTCCATTTTCCTATCCTATGTCAATAAAGATCTAATATTTTTAGGCCAGTTTTTCTGATTGTTGGATCAGACCCATAGGTTGACAAGGAGTTCCCAGGTTGGGTGTGGAAACTTAGAGGAAGCGCTTCCTAGACTAGCTCCAGCAGTTTGAACCAGATATCTGCACACTCAAGCCAACCAAATAAAACCAAACCAGAACTTCAC